GGGGGGTTGGTGTTGCATCTATATGTTTGTACTAGTACTGTTGTACAATAGCTGCCTTCTGTTTAGAATCCACTCAGGAAATATTGATGGCTGTTTGCTGATGAGTGAAGTATGAAGGTGCTCTTTCTGCATACACAAATACACTGTTTCAAAAAGACTTAGTGATTTGGTCTAGTTTTGGTTTACTTTATGCACATTTTAAAAGCTGTTGTTATACGTTAAGAGCTAGCAGCTAGTACAGATCTTAAATAATTATCAGACATTATACACACATTGCCTGTATTTCAGAAAAAAACCGCTTATCTACAATTTTTACCTTCCCAGCAGGCTTGAGCACCAGTAAATGCATCAGCTGGTTTTTCTTCAAATTAGTTTTTTACTTACTTCCGAAATAGATGAATAATTGCTGAAGCAAAACTAGTGTTTTGAGAGTTTATTTCCAAGATATTTAGCATAAACAGAAATTATTTTGACCTTCAGTCTGTGGCAGAGTTTGCCTTTGTGCTTAGCTCCAGCTGTGTTCCAATAGCTTTGAGAAATCCTGCTGAGCCCCTCAAGAGGAACTTGTTTACACCTGCAGCTACACCAGTGCAACCTGCATAAATCATTGCTGGGAATAACAGACTGCTCAGCCCTTCCATCCAGATTTTTCCACTCCACTGTGAGTTCTGGAAGAGAGTCATAAATACAAATATGTAGTATTGTAGCTGTGCTCTCACATGTGTATGTGTGTTATATATCTTTGGGTGTATCATGATAGGGCAGTTTCCCTGTGCATTCATGGATGCACCCAGAGCAGACAAAGTAAAGGTCACTCGTTGAAATTCACATTAAACTGCTCCTTCCCTCCCCCTCCTCATTCTAGAAAACATTAAAAAAGAATACATTTCTGTAAATCATACTTCTGTAACAAAGCACTGCTTAGCTGATATTCAATTTTACTGCATCCTTTGGTATACTTTCTAGGTGCCAGATACAATAAAGAAAAATTATGAATTGAAAAATTATTGTCTTTTTGTTTAACCTGAGTTTTACAGGCTTTAATGTAAAAAGGAGTTATTAATGGTTTTTAAATGCTGTTCATTTTCATCTCCATCATACCAGATGTATTTCATGAGAAGTGGGAGTTAAAAGCATAAAAATACAGTCAAGCTGTAACCCTAATGTTCCTTTAGTAAAAGATGTATTCACACACTGAGAATTTTTAATATAACAGATAAATCAGCTGCTTTAGTTTCTCATTTGCTTTATATCCTATGCTAAATTTCTTAAATTTATTCCCAATGTATTGTATATCTCTGAAATAATAGTTATAAAGCTAAGTGAAGTAGTTAATGTGTATGACATTGACATAAGAATTCTTTTATAATCCTTAACTGTGCATTGATTGTAACAATCTTTGTATCGTCCTAACTGCTGCTGAAGTTTGTGTGGAAGAACTGTAAAAGTGGGCCTGCTTTTTTATTATCATTATTTTTAATTTTTTTTTACATTTAGGATGCACTGAACTGATTGCATTTCAGTTTATGTTTTTACTTAATCACTTTAGAATCATCACTACTAAAAGTACTGTAACGTATTTTATCTTTTTGTGGGTTTGACATGGTTAACCCAAACCTCTGGTTTCTGAGTGTTACGGAGCATAAATAGCTTAGAATTTGTATCATTAATGTAAGAATTCCAGTTTAGCAAAAAAATTACATAAGAGGACATGCATTTACTGGCAGTGTGAGTTAAGGAACACAATGGGACCGCTAGAGACAAGCTGAACCCCATTTCAAGTCATTGATGATACTGTGACTGGTATATCAATCAATTGCTTGTATATGAGCTGCATGTCCTTTATTAGTTTGTGGAAAAAAATTGTATGTTAAACAAAAATCAAACCTTTGTAAGGTGTCCTTACTACAGAACTTTACAATATTTAGAGAAGTGAAAAAGAGTTCATTTGTAAAACAAGATGCTTGTGGTTTTATGAAATGCAAATTAGTCTGCTTTTGAATCCCCAGAGAGTCTGTTACTGAAGCAGAGATGTTGAAACGGCATGTTCACACATGTAGGCAGATGCGTTCAGCGTTTGTAGATGAATTTAGAGATTTGTGAATAATGAGAATCTGGATTAAGAAGAAAGTAGGAGAATAACAACTCATCAAAGGAAATGTGATTATTTATGTACATTCTTATCTCAGCACTATTCAGTATATTGTGCTAGAATGATTAAGAGAATAGAGATTATTTTCCATGGGGACAGAGGAAAACCAGGTTTTGTTTAGCCTAGCAAAGCAAAAGCTGAGTATTTGTATGATAGCTATGTATAATTACAGTGTGGGTAAAGGCTAATTAAGAAAAAAACACTGTTGTTTGGAAAGCCAAATGAATGGATGCTAGTACTGGCACAAAAAGAAGGGTGGTTAGCTAGTTATGTAGAGACTTAGTTGGAAATTAAAGTTTTTAATAGAGAGGGTGCATTCTGGAACAATCTTCTTAAGAGAATAGTATACCAAAGAAACTGACTGTTTTAAAGGAGAAATTTGATGAATTTATGAAAATTTATGCAATGGTATTTATGACAGTAACAGAATGAGTTCAGTGTTGAATGTGTCTTCCAATGGGATAGTGATATTGAGATTCGTTATGAATTACAACATGTCTGAAGAGATCCATTCATTAACAAACTGCATTGAGTTTCCAAGAGATTGCCTATTGATAATACTTTTAAATGCTGTTGATTCTGTTTAAACAGTATCTCAACTATGGAAATTCTTCTGAGTGTTTCAGGAAGTATCAAAAAGCTGACAGAGAAAATTACAGAATTTTACTAGGAAATGGGTTTTGCTAAGGCATAGATGTTGATACCATAGACCTTACAATAGCTGAAAAGCAGGTCATTTTTATTTGCTGTGGAAGTCCTTTTCCAAAGCAGTACCTCAGGTGAACATCCATAGATGTTCATCCTGACTTGTAATGAAATATTCAGCATCACTATTTGGAACATTTCCTGCAGTCACAGGGAGGGACAGCTCATTCTTTGTTTGTCCTTAATACAATCACAGTTTTTCAAGAATTAATGGAAGAGTTCATAGCTTCAATGAATCATATAAATCATAATCACAAGCACATAAAACCGTCTAATTTTGACTACATTTAAAAAAATTTGAAAATTCTAAATCTTTCCAACTTGAGGTTGGGGTACATTTTCTGATTAAAATGACCAGCTACCAGACTAATAACCTAAATAAAACAAAGAACCAGGTAGTTTCTTCAGGAGATGCTAACCTTTCATCCCTTTCCCCTTAAATACAAGTAATGTTCTCTTTACAGGGCTGCTCTTGGTCTGTTATATTTGTGGATTTTGATGCCCATAACCGTAACAGACAGACTCTCTGTTCATTGCTACCCCGTGAATCAAGGTCTCATGTAAGTAATTAAATGAAATTAACGTCAACAGAGTGTGAAGAAAATAAATGGATATGAACATAATCCTTAGTTCTATGATAGCCATTATGTTCTGCTTAATAACGATAGGAATTTGCTGGGAAGATGTTAAATTTTTGAAACACTTTATTTTAGCTTTAATTTATTCTTTTGTCTAGAAAAGAAGCCTTTAAGGTTGGCTTATCATAAATGGCTGAATAGGGAGGATTTCTTGTTATTATAAGCTACTGTTACAAATAAATATTTCCTCACTAAGTAAATCTAAGTGACATTAGTATGGATAGGTTTAAAAAAAAAATAATCTATTTCAGTGCTAGCATCAAAGGTAAATTAGATTTTTGAAAATTAGTAATTTAAAATGAGTGATAATACAGTTCTACTGCTTTTTTGTTCATTCTGGGATATAACAGCATTTTTGTTCATGAAACAGACTATTAATCTTCAACATTAACAGTTTACTCATTGTGTAGAAGAATTATAGCAGAGTTGTAATACTGGATAATTAAAATAAAAGGCACTGTCATCTACTTTTTTGTAGTCGCATGGTCCTTTAGAACTGTTTTGCTGTTCATTATTTGCTGGAGAGTTTAAATGTTCCAACAGAAGCCTGTTTCATAAGTCACTTATGCTATAGAAGCAGTCTTTGTGTCCATTTTCTTCCTTTTTTATGGGTTCATATCAATGCTATTGGCAAAAATATGTTATTTTAAATTGTTGACTATCTTAGATCTATCAGCAGAAAGGAATAAGAAAACAGCACGTGACATAAGAATTATAATTTAAAACTACTTTTTTGTATTTCTGTAAATTTACCTGTAATGGTGATGCAATAGTTAGTAATATTTCTTGTGTTTTTAATTCATGATAGTTGTACATGGTTCTTGAGAAATGCTTCTCATATTTTTTTCCTGAAATTAGTCCCTTATTATCTTAATTGTAAATCACATAGCCTTATTTATTACAGCACCTGAAGAATATTCCTGAAAAAGCTTTTCAGAAATCGTGATTTAATCGTAGTTGCTTCTCAGCATTGCACCTTTATAAAATGTTTGTGATTCATTTTGAGCTTAGGATACCCAGATGTTTCTGTTTCCTCCAGGAAAAACCTGGAGGATAATTTTTGTTTCTAAACTGTAAAAGTTCTAGAATGTATTCACTTATCCCTGCAGATTATCAACTGTAAAGTAGGTCAGATTCTGAGTCAAGTGAGTTCTCCTTTAAATCATATATCTGAATATTGGGTTTGTAGTTTATCTTTACATGTCTTTGGAAGTCTTATTTTGCTCACTGTTTTAATATAGTGGTACTATGATTTTGATAAAGATAAGCTAATGTTCCAAATGTATATTTCACTTAGTAAGTTAAACAGTCTTTGTTTGTGCATCAAATAATTGTCAGAGATCTAATTAAATCTATAATGTGCTATTTCTTCCCCTCCTTCTACAGAATACTGATGCAGCTCTTTTGCCCTGTCTTAGCTATCCTGCATTTGCTTTGGATGATGAGGTTTTGTTCAGTCAAACACTAGATAAAGTTATTAGAAAATTGAAAGGGAAATATGGGTTTAAAAGATTTCTGAGAGATGGCTACAGAACTGCACTGGAGGACAAAACACGACGTTATTATAAACCAGCAGAAATTAAGGTAAAGGAATACCTGGCCTCCATAAGGAAAAAATATGGATTTCTAAAATGTATCCACAGTATTTTAAAAAAGAAAATAAATAAAAAAACCAAAACAAAATCCCCCCCAAAACCCGAAAGAAGAGTGAATAATGGAACCTCCCCCAGTATTTGCAGTTTGAATTGCACAGTGACTCCTAGTTGCTTCAAGTGAAGGAGATGCATTTTGTGATTTGGCACGTGCAGTTTTGAGAGACTGCTGAGTCTGCAAGTTAGTTGTTGATTTGTTTTGTAATGAATGTGCTTCCATTTACATTTAGGGCACAGATGATTTCACATAACAAATAAGGAAGTTATTTATCATTTTATTTAATTTCACAGCTGACTACAGTCTGAGTGTATAGAAAGCAATTTTGCTTTTGACCACAGTATTTCTCAGAAAAGTTTATCTAAGTGAAAATTTACCTTTTTTTCTTTCTCAATAGTTTCTCTGTGGAAAATAAAATGTAGATTATATAAATATTCTGCTTGAGAATGACCAACAGCATGTGTAAAAGCACGGTTAAAGTGCCCATTGAATTAAGAAGTAGTAATCTAAATGAAAAGCTGATGTACTAAAATGTTTTTGTGTTCATGTTTGTCTTTTGTTGCTTTGAAATTATTGAATAAGATATTCAAATGTTTCCTTAAACTAAAATTACAAATGTCTGATTAATTTTATCCTCTTTTCAGCTCTTTGATGGCATTGAATGTGAATTTCCTCTGTTTTTTATTTTCATGATAATTGATGGTAAGTACAGCTTTACGTTCGTGTTCTTTAAAGGCATTAGAGGAAAAATACAAAATTATTTTCCTGTCCTACCAAAATAAACCATAATGCAGTGGCACTAAATGTCTCATTGAGAGTTCTACCTCATGGGTTAAAAAAACCCCAAGCACCCAACCCCTTATATTTCAGCATTTTTAACGTGAACTGGTTTTAGAATATACCTCAACATGGTTTTTATAAGCTTAAATCTGGACATTCAGTCGTGCATTGTCTTTTAAGCCTTAAAATCTTTCACAGTATGTCAGAACTTTGCAGTAGCATGTGGGAGAAAAGGGAGTGGAAAAGAGAACACACTGGCAAACTGAAGGTTGCAGCAGGTCTTTTCAAGTTGGATATTCTGTGATAGTTGAAATAAAAGTCAGAAGAGAAGAAAGCGAACCAGAAAAAGCCCAGTTTCTCTTTGAAATGCCTGTGCTTCCTGGACATGTTTTTCCACATAAGCAGTTAGTCTGATTTAAAACCAAAACCAAACAACCCCAAAAACAACAGAAAAAGTACCACTACCTAGACCTTATCTTGAGGACAGGAGACACATCAGAAAAGTTCACGGGATGATTTCAGGATTGAAGCTAAAGCTCACATAGAACAATAAGGCTGAATAAGAAAATGAGTAAGGGTTACAGCCATCAAACAGATTTGTAAATGGATGAAAATCTGGCCGTCTGGTTTTTTTCCCTTTAGTGTGTGAAATAGTTTTTAAATAAAGACGGTGAGGGCATAGAAATCGGCTGTCTGCCTAGACTCTGCTGTGGCTGCCCACAGATTTTTTGAAGATGTAACAGGGTTTCACAATTCATTTTTCTAAAGGAATGCTTGACACTTTTCAAAGAGTGATGCCCAAAACTGAGGAGAAAGACACTGACTTGCAGTTTTGGGAAGCACAGGAAAGATAATAATCTTTGACTGATGTTAGCAGAAGAATAAAGAAAGCATTTTACTCTTCTTGTATGACAAAGTACAAAATACCTATTTTGAACGTATTGGCCTTGTCTTTTTTTCCTGTACCACAGTTTAATCAAGTAGAGCAATTCTGTTTGTAGATTTTGTGCAGGTATCTCCAAATCCACAAGCTTCCTTAATGCAAAATTTAAAGCTTATGCAGGGCAACTTAAACTGCAAGAAGACAATGAAATAGGAGGAGCAGATTATAGTTGAATGTCTTTATAATGAAAATGTTGGAAAAAACTCGAGCTGCTACATTGTGAATACTGGTTCAGCTGAAAGCTTATTTGCCCATCCAAAACACTTGTGGAATACAAAGGAAAGCCTTTTTGGCAAAGGATATTAAGCTACTGAATATCTAGGTAACTCCTGATAGTTGGATTTTGTTAACTGTGTAACAGTGGGACAGTGCTCCAATAAATAAGGAAGGAGAGAGTCCTGTAAATTATAGTCCATAATCCTCCAATTTTGTTCACATCAGCAAAATCATTTTCATCGTTTCCTTTTTGAAAGATTAGCAGAACATATTCAAGTAACTATATATTTACTGTTTTTTTTAAGAAGACAAACTAATTAGCTCATCAACTTTTCTCTTTTGTCAATGACAGCTTTTTAGGATTTTTGAGATATGGAGAGTTAAAACAGTTCTGCCAAGTAGATATGACTGAATTAGTTACGTATTTTCTAGTAGTATTAAGAACACTGCTTTATTCCTCATGGATGATGATCATTATTGCCCAACTGTTGTCTTCACTAGATGATTCTTAATATAAAAGCATATAAGTGCATCTTTTTATCCCCTACAGCATCTGCCAATAAGACTAAATTACAAATAGTCAGAATATCATATTGCTCTGATGTCGTGACTGTACTCAAGTGTTTTGAAATAGTTCAGTGTGTCACTTAAACACAGGCTTTTTTGTGTGCAAACTTTCATTACATTTGTTTCTTTTGGCAAGTGATTTCATTTCCTGTATGTATACTTGGGAATATTTGAAAATGTAATGAACAGCACTTGTCAAGCTTTGGTTTTGGATAGAGCATTGAAGAGCCATGGAGAGAAAGAAAGATGTATACAGTAGTCAGGCTCCAGCTTTCTACTGCACCCATGCTTTTCAGTAGAATAATTTGTTGGATATTCTTAAAATAACATAAAAATAAGATTTTTGTGATGTTTTGATATATGTATATTAATAGAAAAACTAACAAAAAAGCATATCTAAACTTAAAATCAACAGAAACATATCTAAAAATATCATACACATAAATACAGCTGTACATATAGATAAATACATATCATACACAAAAACATATCTAACAAAAAGATATCTCAACTTTTTCCAATAAATATGTTCTGGTGTATTTGTTCTCAGTGGGTTTCTTCTTATTTTTGCCTTTTAGAATTCACCCTTCTTAAGAATACAGAAAGACTGCTTTAGTACTAATTTCCTCTTGGGATTTTTCTCAAAAGGAGATTGTTTAGGACTCTCTGGGTAGTAGATATGCATCTATAGCTGTGGGAAAGGACGGAACTAAATAAATCAATATGACTATTATTTGGATAAGACACATTTGAATAGCATCTTTGAAAGCTTTTTTATATTTCTGGTTGAATGTGGAGGATTATGGTAATTTTCTAGGATAAGGTAAGGAGGGAAACACTACAGCTACTTTTAATAATATGGAAGAATATGGTAATTGAAAAGAAAAGCCATGGAAAGAAATGAGTGAAAGATTTACAATGAAAAGTTTTCATCTAACTTGTTCCCCTTCAAATGTTAAAAATATCTTCTATTTTAAAATGTCAGTGCAACTTGTCAAGTTCATACAGGTTTTCCTTGATGAACAGAAATACTTTTGGTATTTTTGATATGTATTTTCATGTAAGAACTTTCGATGAACTGAACAGCGGTCATGCTAATATTAATCACATTCGTATTGGGATGACTAAGTTCTGCTAGAAAAGCCTTTAAGGTCCTGGTACTGCCAAACTTAGCATTTGCACCCCAAAAGCTGCATTACAGAGCTGACTGTTCTGTTTAATGTTTCAGGGTGTGTTAGCAGTTCTGAACCTCTATAATATGAAGATATTATGCCTATATAACTTACCAATGTAAACACTCCATCTAATTTTTGGAGGGGATTTTTTTCAGTTTACTACTACAAGTTCCTTTTGTGTTTGTTTATTGGGGTTTCTAGGCAACTCACCTCTAGATCAGTTTGCAACCCTGTCCTAAAGATTTAGAACCAGGCTGTTTGCCTTCACACTGGCACTCAAGCTCTGCTTCTTCACTCCGCTGTAAAGAAATTCCTTACAGCTAGCTGGGCTGTTCCTGAGCCTCTGTAAGTTCTCAGCTTTACTATCCTGTGTAACTTGCCATCGATTTCAGTTTAAGCTAGTAAGAGTGGCCAGTTCATGATCCCTGGGAGACTTAGCTGTAGCAGTAACTGAAGATCTACAGTTCAGTATTTTGCTTTTCATTAACTGTTTAGTGTGTAGGCACTACACCATTCAAAAATAAACACTGGATTTTTTTTTTCTTCTTTTATGAATAACGAAAGTTATTTCTTTCATTAAATCAATTATTGTTTGGGTTTTTTTAGGAGTGTTTAGAGGAAATCCAGAACAAGTAAAGGAATATCAGGATCTTCTGGATCCTTTACTTCAGCATACATCTGAAGGTATTATCTGGTAATCGTTCTTCTAAAATACTGTGGTTTTTTATTTGTCTAAAATTGTTAAAATACTGATCTTCCTATTAATGGATATTGCAGTCAAAGCAAAGGAGAAGTAATAATGTCTTTCCTGATGGCAAAATACTAATAGTAAATAATGTATTTCATGTAGATACATTGCATCATAAATTGTGATAATAAAAATAATGCTGTCTGGAAAAAATTGTACTGATATAAATGTAAGATTTACACCATACCCAGTCATTCCTCCCCTCCTTCACCTGTGCTTCATGATTTACAAAGTTTGGCTTTGAAGGGAAATATTAACTACCAACAGTCAGATTGTTTCGATGTTCCACTTGGGTACTTGGGAACTAATTGCATCATTCATTGCCAATTAATTTGACAAGATTTAAAACTTAATTTGGTATATGCATATGAAATTGTTTATAGCTTAGAGCAGTGAAAGTGGCAACATGGTAATTTTAATATAAATGTTCTCTTACTGAAACTGTGCACTCCAGAATTTTGGTGGAACTGTAGACAAGGCTATTGATGGCCTATAGGCACATCCATCCAAAATTCCGTTAAAAAAAAAGAAAAAGGCCATAAGTTTGAGTGGGAGGAACAAAAATGGCCCGAGAACAGAACAAGCTTCAATATATTGACAATCCAGTTTTAAAACCCAGCATCTTTAGTCACCTGTTCTTGACATCTGTGGTAGAGTTGCACAAGTAGATGCAGAAAATTTGTCTGACTTATTCTTTAAACTTAGAAAAATAAACTTAGAATGCTTGTTGAAGTGAACTACTTTCTGTGTGAAATACAAATATTTTCTTAACAAATTTTCATTGTATAGCAAATTTTCTGACCTTGCTGCTCATTATTCTAGATACAAGATATGGTATCTTCCAGTGAAGAAGTACTGCCATTTTGCTTCATAATATTTCAAAATCAAAATGTTAGTTTTAACTTGATTTTGCATACCTGCAAAAAAAATATAATTTTCATTTAATTAAATGGCTGACTACTCTTGGCCAAGATTTTAGTTTTCACAAGTTGTCTGATAATGAGCAGGTGTTAAATGCAGGGAAAAACACCCCAAGCGTTTCACTCTGATGCAGCTTTCATTTCTTTTTGTTATGGTTTGTTATCTGTACTGCATTTTGCTTTAGGTGAAAAATACTTTTTTTTCTTTTTGCTCAGTAGGATGCTACACAAACAATGTATGTGTTCTGGGAAGAAGTTCTGTGGAGACATTTGGTGAAAAATAAAGTAGTTTAATATTGCCCTGGGTTTCCTACACCGAGTGTAGTTTTGAGAGATAACAATGAATGACAACAGTCTTTCTGTTCAATCAAATTGTTCCTAGGGTATAATTTTTCCTGTTTTGAATCCAATTCAGCTTTATTAGGGGACTGCAATCAAATAATAAAGGAAGTAGAATTTATTTGCTTAACTGTACTTATTTTTAAAACGCTGTATAGGGTGTCCTGTTGTACCCAAGTATTACTACGTGCCAGCTGATTTTGTGGAACTGGAAAAGAAGAACCCTGGCAGTCAGAAACGGTTTCCTAGTAACAGTGGACGCGATGGGAAGTTTTTCTTGTGGGGACAGGCAGTTTACATCATTGCAAAACTCCTGGGTAAGAGGCTGAGGAAATTCTATCAGGTTTTGATGTGTCAGAAGTGAAGGATATTTATCTTGTTAATGTTGTTCTTGAATTTGAACAAATGCATTGGCTTGAGTTTTGAATGGACTGTGGGTGGCACGTGTGTCCTCTGCTTTGGTATGTATCTGATAGGCGAAAATTGCTTTTTATTCTTCATGTTAAAATTTTGTGCTGCATGCAGCGTACTGGAATATTTTACAGAATACTGAAAATCTTCTAAACATGATAGGTTTCTTTTTTGCTGTTTCTTTTCCTGGCTTTCCCTCTATTTCCTTTTCTTCATGACAAAATATATTAACATGACACTTTCTGGATTAACTGTATCAGCTGCACCTGTACAGTGATGTTTGTAAGTGATCTGTAGGATTTAATTCAAATTTTTTACTGCTTTCAGTAAGACAGGTTTAAATTTTGAATAGTTGCAGTCTCAGATAAAGTTCATGATCTCAGATAAAGTTAATGTTTTCTTCAGTCTGTGTTATTTTACCCTTTAAAACGGAAGAGTCTAATGAGCATTTGAAAGTGCATTCCAAATCTGGCCATTGAAGGTCATTATTGTGAATTTCAGTCACAAATAAACTCTTGGCCTCTCTTGAAGGGATTCAAAGGCTAATGCAAAACCAGGTGTTAAGCCAGAGAAGTCTTCACAGTTAAGATTTTTTCTTCATATTTATTTCAGGAGAAAGATATATTGCTTTATTTTAACATGCTCAGCATTTACCTGGTAATCAGTAGATTGATGTCTAAAAACTTTCTTTCTGTGAACACTGTAAAGGGAAACAGGCTGTTGGTAGTAAAAATGAGAAAGATTGAAGGGGAGTTTAAAAATTCAAGACTTGGCAAGAACAGAGGTTGTATCTTTAGGTATGGAAGAACAGAGTCCATCTGGTGCTCCACCTGTTTGGTTTCACTGTATTCCTTGCATAATTCCTTTCTGAGCCAACACTGTAAAGTAAATGCAGGCAATCTCACCTTTTTAATGAAAAAAATGAATTAAACTTCTTAATAGTAGCCAAGTAATCCTCAAATGTGTGTGCAGGAATACTGTAGTAATTCTGGTAGTATTCATCTTGTGCTGATATTTGTGTATTTCTGTACCTGCAGCATGCTGGTTAAATGCTGCTTGAGTAAGGTAACTGTCTTTTGTTTCAGTTCTTTCTTTTGCTGAACATTCTTACACTTTTTTTTCTAAATAATTGTGCTAAATCTCTTTTTGAAAGGTTGTCATTAGTAACAGTTTCCTTTGTTGTTTAAAACTTTCTCTCCGCTCTATTCACTACTTTTTCATTCCTCCCTCCTTTTTTGCCAAGTATTTTTTTTTCCCTTTTCTCTCATAGCCTTTGCAAATAGGTTCTGGAAATTTTATCACAAAGCTAAATCTATTCACCAGTGATTGTTATATCAGGAACTCCATTTATTTATACTCATTTAAAATTGGTGCATTTCATTTTGCTCCTTTCTGGGTGAAAACCTACCTGAGTAACAATCTTGTCCTTTGTGAAAGTACTTGTGTGTGTTACTTTGCTTGTTGATGGTTGCTAATTAAGTGGAAACCTGACTTCAGACTTCAGTTCCTGGGAAGGTACTGGTTTCCCATTTCATCATCCATTCCAGAAATGGTTGTGTTGCCTCAAGGGTAGCAATGGATTTGTATTTGCTCAGCCTCCTTGCTTCTGTTCTGTAGGCGAGTGTACAACAGAACCTTTCTAGATTCTTCTGTCTGTGGGCCCAGTGTCTGCCCGTTGCAGGCCACATTTCTCTAAATGCAGAAACATGAAACTGAGTCGATTCTCACACACATCGCTGCCTCCCACAGAGGGCAAACTGAAGTAGCGAGGTCAAAATCTTGATCCTGCGTATAAAGGCTCTGAGCAACAGAGGCAATGAAAGGTGTTGGGTTAGACTTGATGATCCTTGAGGTCTTTTCCAACCTTAATGATTCTGTGACTTTCTATGACTTTGAAAGGGTCTGCCTGCCGCTGTTGGAAGTCACCATATGCTTATGCAACTTAAGAAATTGTTATGAAGAAAAACATGCATTTTGTATCTGGTGATGCACTTTTCACGGCACCTGTTTCTTGCTGTGGTTGAGGAGGTTTGTAAAGCCTTTCTGGCAGGGTCCCCATTTCAGAGCAAGGGAAAGGGATGCCAGGTATTCGGCTGTTCTATGCAACTGAAAACTCACTCAGTTTAGTCTTTCCTTTAGTAGCTCCATTATCTTTCCTGTGGCTTTGTTTATAATTTTTGTATCTTGTTCTGTCAATTCAGTGCTGCCTGCAACTAAGTTAAGAGTTTTTAGCAATATTTTTTAGAGTATAGACCAAATGGATTAAATGTTGTCAGCTGTTGCTGAGGTAAATAATGAGCTAACAAAGAAAACTCTGCAGTGGCATTTCAATACATTTGTATTTGTGATAATGGTGAGGAATATTCAGTGAGTTTATTTTTTAAATAAAATTGTAAATATTGAAAGTTAACTTAAATTTTATATTACTTTATAGATGTTTCAAATACAAAATTATTTTGACTACATATTTTAATTACTGAGCAGTGTAAATCAATGTAAAAAAAACCTGTGGAAATAGAACAGCTGTTCTGGAAAGCACTCTTGCTTTTAAGAGCTCTGAGGCAGAGTCCATTGATCTTGCAATCATTTGGTGAATCAATTTTATAGCATCAGCAGTACTACAAATAATTGTGACTCTGCAGGAGTAGTGCAGAGCAGGGGAACAGCGTCCTTTCCTGGCAGGAGTCGAGCTGCATTCTCTCAGCAGAAGGCTGAGGGCAGGAGATGGTCACGGGATCTGGTGGCTGACAGTCGCTGGCATGGTTCCTGGCAGCAGCACGGCCGAGTGTCCTTCACTGCCTGCCCATGCGTTTTCTTGCTCTCTGCTCTTTGCCAACACTGTTAAGCTCGAGCCAGGACATATATGGAGTTTATAACCTGCTGTCTTAATTTGCTACACAGTACACAAGTCGGAAAATATTTTCTGATCAAGACAACGTTGGTTTTCTGTTGTAGCTGAATTAAGCTAATGGAGTCGTGAGTTATTCTCTTGTACATTAATAGCTGATTTGCTAGTGTAGGCTTTTTAAGAATATGTGCAAAATTGTTGACATATATAGGAGAATTGAAAATGCACTGTGACCTCCTCTGTAGCAGAAATTAAATAAAGATTGGACAGTTTCATGTCAAAATGAGTTTTTGATAGGAGAATACTTATTGGAAGGGTATAATGGCTCACAGTAGACTGTGAACCTTTATTCAAGGCATTTGTTGAAACTCTTTAATAGTGTACTTTTATTGGAGTATCTTTTTTTTTTTCATGAGGAGGTTAAAAAAAATGGAATTTTAGGTTTGTGGGTTTTTTTCATGTAAAAAAACATATAGAAATTGCTAGGTTTCAAATATATTTAATTTTTTTTTCTTCACAATTTCTCTTGAGATATCAGAGAGAGAGATGTTTGATATCCCTCGCCCCTTGTCTGCTTATCTTCAAAGCTAAACAATTTTTGATGGTAATCATTGGGTTTCTAGTTCAAGCTTCAGAATAATTCCATGGTTGTGGATTGTGGGCTTTTTATGTGAGTTGTGTGTTGTGGAGTCTGTTGTCTGCAAATATTCTTTTAACACCTCTCTGTGAAAAAAAGGATTGTTTTTATACACTGCAGCATTATCATTCACTGTAGCAAGAATGATGCTTGAGTCAGTTTTAAAATTAATATGATTTTGTAGAATGTCCTTTTGATCTGTAAATCATTGATATAAAATAGATACTATAGCCACTGAACTGACTATGTAAAGTGTATTTGCATGCCTCCTTCGCAAAAGCTGCAGGAAGTACTCAAGTCATTCTGTATTTTTGTTATTGTTTACTTTCAGCTGACAAATTAGTAAGCCCTAAAGATATTGACCCTATTGGACGTTATGTACCTCCACAAGATCAGCGGAATGTTAGCATGAGATTTTCCAATCAGGTAAGCATAAGCTTAGTATTAAATTTTCTTTACTGAAAATTTGTTATCTATGTGTTATATACAGTCTTCTAATTTTACAGTTAAATTGCTATGAAAATATTAAATGTATGTATGTTTTCTTAGTTGATGGAGGATTGCTTTTAAAAGGAAGGTAATAACATCTGCAGTTTTGGGGAAATGGCGCACATTTGCCTTCAAATTAAGTGGTGCAATCAAAATGAGACATCAAATGTAGTTTTAAAAAGCTGCTAATAGATAAGTGTGTTTCTTTGAGGTGTAAGATATGTCAGGACGGTAAGAAGGAGCCTGCTTTTTTTTATTCCTTCAAATTAATTATCACTTCAATCTATTAATTTTTTTTTGTCTTTAGAGCTCCTAAGAGCTACACATATGAGGTTCTTTTTGGTGTGCTCGGTATTTGGCTTCAGCACTTTTTGGTGCCCAGGGATGGGGAATGCTTGAAACACTAATTCAAGCCTGCAGTAGACAGGATAACAAGACGGAAGGATGGTCTTTATGTAGGGGACTTCTGTTATTAAAGAACTGCGTGTATGGAAATGTAGCTAAGAGATGTTTTTCAGTGTTTTTATTTCTTGGTATAAGGAGTATATATTTGGAAGGTTCCTTGCTCAGCATTGTGAATTTGTTATTGAAGCATTAAATGTGAAGCCTTTGTTTTTGTCTTAGGGTTTATTCCAAGATCACAAGTGAACAATATTTTTCTTGTTCTAGCCAAATACTGCTTAAAACCTCTGTTTCCTACTATTTCCTGTTACCAAGGAAATCCAAGTGCCTGGGCATTGTCTCATTCCTAATGAGACTTTCATTGTTCACAGTGCAGCACTTCTGCTGTGTTAGTATGAGATAATGAGAGCTCAGTGACTTAATTTGTTCCCAGTTTCTTTGTTTGTTCTTACATCATGGGATTATGAATGCTACGGCAATCATGGGCTGCTGATACCACCTGCAGCTGTAGGAGTGCCGTTAGAAGCAGCCTGTATATAACGTCAGTGTTGCATGCAGTGCATAGATTTTGTTTTTCTTTTGATTCTTGAAACCAGTAACTTTTAATGTGCCATAGCTTAACACTTTGAAGATGATGGTTTGCTCTGAAGACACTGCATGACTCACTAAGAAATGTTTTAGTTGAAAAGCATTTTTACTATTTTTGGGGGTACCTGTTATATGATAGTGAATTTCCCGATCTCCAGAGTGAAACAGTCTCTGCTCTGAGAACTTCCCAAAAGAGATAATAAATAATGCAATAATAATTTATTTTCTCATAACTTATTCCTTGGTGATCACTTTGTGGGTCATTAAAGAACTTATTTAGTAAAATGCAGTTACTTAGTAAAATTCAGCAACGTAATAGGGACTCTAAAAGCCCACCAGTGTTGAAAGTACTGAAAATAACTTGAGCTACATTTTTATATTTTGCTTCATCTGCAAATGATGGGGGGAAAAAAAAGCTTTGTCAGTGTTAAAAGGGAGATTAGACTAGATAGTTTGTCATCCTCAAGTGCTTATACAGTCCTTGTGATCTTTCTCTGCTCAACAGTTGTCTACGCTAGAATTATTTGAAAGAGCAACTGTGCTCTTCTCAGGCAACTTGGTGGAGCTGATGCTTGTTCATCTTTCCCTGCAAAGGCTGTCTTTAGCTGCTTAAATTTGCTAAAACTTTGGCAGAAATTTTCCATATTTGGGATCAGTAATGTTTTCATTGTCAAAAAATTATAATCTTCCTAAATTGTCACAGTAAGACTAATTTATCTTCTCAGTTAACTTGAAATATATGTATAGGGTTGCATTTGATTAATTAAATTCTCTGACTGCACATGATGACTATATTCTTTTAATGTTTTGCTTTGTAGACTAAGTAATCATTTGTGAGGACTTAAGTTGCTGGAAATTAAGGTTAATGCCCATTGATGATGTTGGGAAGAGAATAGTCAAAATAATAGACTGCTCATCTTTTTATTTTCAGGGAAGTAGATAACATGTAAAGGAGGAATGTGTAGGCAGACTGAGATATATGAAGATTTTTCAGCTACCTAAATTGTGTTCAGGGTCAGAGCATGTCTAATTTTGATGGTTTAGAGAGATGTATCACACTGGATGATTTGTTTTGTAATATTAATTATAAGCATATTCTTGCTTTCATTTCTCTTAATACAATTGTCTACCACGGTTAACACAATTCTAAAATGGTTCATGGTTATTTCAGAATTTAAGGCCCATGTCTCCATACTGTATTTCATTTAAGTAGCATTGGTCATAGGCTGTTCAGCGGTATTTAGATGCTTCCAGAAGCATATGTGTTTTGTAACAATTCATTTGTAGTTTTGCAGCAGTAAGGTGGATTATTTGGGTTAAATACAATTTCTTCAGTTGCATACTCTTTCTGTTTCCTCACTCCACATGCTTGGAAAGCCCAGTAGGAACTGTTTCAATCGGTGTTCTTGAGTATTGTGCCTACCTTCTCGCATTTTCAAAATGAATGGATTTTTTTCAGAGTTCTGAGATGTCCTGGGTATGTGTGCAGAAAGGCATATAGTGATAGCATCTGTCCAGTGGGAGTGCAGCGAAAGACTGACACTGAGCAGCTTCTCTCCTTGTGCCGGCAATGGAGTCAGGGATTTTTCCCTTTATCCTGCCTCCAACAGTTTATAACCTTGTTAAAAACTATGATTTCTTATTTTATTTTATTTTTTTGAGAGGAAGAACAACTAATCTGTCTTTTATCTTGGTCTTCTGAAAGCACTGGGGTGTATTTATCATGTGCACAGCACGCAGAGTATAGATGAAGCAGATCCTTCTGCCTGCTAGCCCGTGTGAAAGTGTG